AGGGTATCCTTGGAGGTAATAGGAATGCTGGGAATAAAACAGAGTCGGGTACAACGGTCAACGTCAAGAATCCCTTCGACGAGGAGGACGACAAGACTGGCAACGACTTCAAGAGCTTTGTTGATGACGACGATTTTTTCAGTAAACCCAAAGACAACGAAATTTCCACCAAGATAGCGTTTTCTTTACCCAAGTTAAACAACGAAGAAAATTCAAAAACGACGACCAATGTCAGCGAAAAGGCTATAAATGCAACAAGAATACAAATATCGACAACTACCACATATATCGATGAGGTATCAACGACAACAAGTGGTGAAAATGTCACGGAAGTCCCAGTAAAAGGATAATTGCAAGGAGTCACAACATGTTAGGCATTTTCCTCTGTACAGAAGACTAACAACCGACATTTAAAAATACTTGGCAAAAATCTATTTTTTTTTTTTTTTATAAATGATATCAGCATTTCTTTCCGAGTCGTTCGTTTCTAAATATCGCTGTATATAAGTTGGTAGTAAAAACTTATATTTTAAAACATATTTAATATTGAAAATTGAAATGGATTTATCTTTAACAGTGGAATCAGTTCGCTATCCAATAGTGTTCAATATCGACATATTCACACAATGTATTAGCTTATTATTAAAGGTTTTATTATAGAGATAATTTATTTATTTAAATATTTTATACGAGGGGCTAATTATGATTTCCTTAAAAAAAAAAAGAAAAGCTTCACACGTTTCGTATTAAATTATTATTCGAATTATTTATATTAAATGATCGGGCCAAATAATATTTAGAAATTATCTTATTTATAAATAATAAGTATATAATTTACAATATAACTTTGAAAATTAATTATTATGCAAATATTTTTAAACTCTGAATGAATAAAATAACAAAAATACATTTAGTCTATGTTGAGCAAATAATTGATAAGATCATTGATTAAAATGTAAGAAAATCAATTTAATGATATAGAATTTTGCAGCAAAATTCATAATCAAAGAATAACCAAGAAATATATGATTTATATTTATAGGATTTATAAACAATTTGTATTGAGATAATATATGTAAGTATATTAATACATATATGTACAACAAATTTGTTTAAAAATATATTCTTGAACTTTCTATTGTAACAATTAGAATATACGAGTATTTAGTTTAATATTTTGACATATTATAATTTAAAATTGGAGTACATTTAGATAAGGAACCGATATTTTTTCACATTATAAAATTATTATTATTGTTATGCAAAAAATCATACTAAATTGTGATAAGGTTCGTGAACTTATTTTTTATCCTTTAATAAATTGCGTATATGGTATTATTTTTTCAATTCGATTGATATTAATTACATATTTTTGGAAAAATTAATCACTTGTAAAATTTTAGTACTTTTGTTAAAATTAATTTATAGTTGCTTTTTTCCTAGTTATTTTAATATAGTTAGTTTAATATGAAATTATAAATTTAAATCAACTTTTGATTGGTATGTATATACATACATTATATTTTAGTTAAAAACATCTCAGGCATATTCTATTTAATAAAATTATTTAAAACAAGACGTTTAATTTTTCTTATAGAACTATAAAATTTACTTATTTCGGACTGATAATTTAATTATACTTATACAACTAATCTATACTTTTATAAGGAGTATTTATTATTATACAAGTTAGTTTTGTATCATTAGATATATTATTTACTAGTTTATATACAATTTTAAAATTACTCTATAATATTTGAAAAATTTATTTACTAATATTCTTTCGATAGAAATTATTTTTATATTTTAGCATTTTAATCTTGCCTTATTTTCTACGTACTGAAAATATTTTATTCCTCTGGTACAATAGTTTAAAATAATTTTATATATTAATAAGACATATATTATAATTTAGTATAAAACTGATCGTACAATTACCGACAACATTAATTGTATTAAATTATTGTATTAAAAATGAGTCATCATTATTATTAAATAATAAATGAAACTTTTCAAAATTAAATTTTGTTCTAATATCGATAATAGAATATACTACACAATGTATTTTTATAACAATTATATTGATTTATATTTTTAAGCGTTAATTTCATTTATATTTAAATTACAATTGATATCAACAAATTTTAATTTACCAATATTTTGATCCTTGCCAATAAATTCTTCATTATAACAATGTACAATAATGTACATGAATACACCGATAATTGTAATGATAATGGATAATATATTTTGATAATCCATCGAATTTTCGAATTATCTATGTAACCTCATCTTTTACATTTAAAATTTCGAACGATGATGTTTATATGAATACATATAGTCTATAGTTATATTGAATATTCATTAAAAACAAAACATATTTGTCAACACTTGTGTTGACCGAACTTTTAGAACTTCGGTATATAGTTAATAATAACTATATATAATGAAAATAGATGTATAAAGGGGGAGGATTTAAATAAATGTCTTAAAGGTATCTGGACTTCTCGGAATGAAAAAATATAAAAATTTGAAAATGTTCATCTTCGTGGTTAGCTGCTGTCTACCTCATATGCCTGGGGATGAAAAGAAAAATGATGGACACGTAAGGAGCAGAGTAACACTTTTTTAAGGCGACAACGGCTTCTATGAAAACAGCCCAAAGACCAGAACTATACATGGTTTTTATACAAGAATGTAACGAAAATTCTCTTATGCTATTTTTAACTTTCTGCCTTTTATTCTAATGGTCGTTCATAATTCATTCATGAAAATATGAATTCGATCTTTTCAATTTATCCTTTTTTTCTCATCATTATTTGTCACTCAAAATAGTATACATACTAGTATTTAATATTATCTATTCTCATATATATATATATATATATATATATATATATATATATATATACACCTGAATTTATTTGCTAGTTTAGGCTTACAATTACAAGAAGAGCAGTTTTATTAGTTTCATTGTTTAGATAATTATTTAGAATTATATTTTTTAATAATTTCACAAACTACATAGAGAATTGTAAGTGAAAATTTTATATTATTATACTTTATTTTTAATAATATTCTTCAGACATATAAATAACTATTTAATCGAGAAGCACCATCATTAAAAACTTTTTTGCATATAGAAAAAAATTCTCCATATTAATAATATTGTAATAAAATCTATTTACTGAACTTTACGATTGGTTAATAGATTGTGACGACGTATTAAGTAAAATTTAGTCCTAAACTAGCAAAAACTAAGAAAAATTAAACATGACTATCAGCCTATCGCCATGATCATTCTGCATCATGTACTAATCGTGAATGTATTCTATATTTACACACGATTCATCTTTTCAAAATTTGTCAGGATTACTTTTCAAACTTATTTATAGCTTAATCAAAAAAAAAAAAAAAAAAAGAAAAAAAGTCTATTTGTCATAGACCATATTTATTAGAATATATTGAATTACTATTGTAAGGTTAACAAATTTATTGAACGACGTTTTTGTCTATTGTTAATGTGATTAACGTTTCTTTCATGCTCGCCTATTGTAAATAATTTTTTTTTATGATAATTTTACTGCTAATTATTCACAGAATAGCCTTTAAACCTCGATACAAATTTTTATTTGTAATTAATCAGAATTCTATATTTTCTTTTTAACAAATTTATTCAACTTTCATTTATTTTCCAGTAAGTTTTTTATGAAATTTTATTCTTTATTTCGTAATTATATGTCATACATGCTACATACATCAAAGCAATAGATTTTTAATCCAATTGTCAATATTCATTCTATGAATTATCACTTCATACTTCCACAAATTCAAAATATCATGTGGGCTTTTTCTTTATGCTTTTTCTAAATGAAATATGCCACTATAATTATGTGTTTGACATTCTTAGCTTAATTTGTCGCTGAAAATAATTAAATTATGAATTGAATAAATTTTAAACAGTAGGTAATATACTAAGTAGTTAGTCGATAATAAGTATCTGATTATTTTTTAATATGAAAAAATAGCTATCTGTACGATACTACAATTATATATTCAAATGTTTAAGTGAAAACGAATATTCATAATTGTATATATATGAAAAATATATAATAATTTTCCTATAATAAATATTCAAAACTTACGATTTATATACTAATCATTTCATAATTAATATTACTTTATTTAAAATGCTAATGATAATATTTTTAATGTTTCTTTTTTTTTTGCAAATCTTTACACTGTTGCCATATTAAAAAATATAGAATCAAGAATCGTAATATTATCATTTTAATAGGGTACAAGTTTTTAGTATCGAAATTTCAGCTAAATAGTCTTTCAATTTTTATTAATTATTATATATTTTTTATAAAAGAACTATGAACATAAAATACTTTTTAATATGTTCACTTTAAAATTTTACAATTGTTTAAAACTTTTAAAACATGTAAAAATTTAACTTTAAAGTAATGAAATTTAATTGCCAGTTTTAAAAAATAATAAAATTGTCAATGAAAAAAATTTTATTATAATGAATGTCATTCGCACTTGCAAACTATTTTACACATGTACACAATATATATTTTCCAGCACATATTTCACTCTATATGTTACCGACAAAGAAATTCCATTCATAATACACGTTACTTGCCCATCTCGAATTTAATAGCGAATGAAATTCCATGCAACTATTTCTTTCTCTTACTGCACATACACCCCCCCCCCCACACACACACACACATACACATATATACATATATATATATATATATATGTGTGTGTGTGTGTGTATGTATGTACGTATGTATGTAGGTATGTATGTATGTATACAAGTAAATATACATACGCGCATGCATACATATCCATGATTATATATATATATATACATATGTATGTATGCATATTTATCTGTATATGCATATGTATTTATGCGCACGTATGTATGTATGTATTGGAGAAAACATACATTAATGAGAAAAATTTATGGATAAAAATTGCAGGATGTGAATCCGGAAGCAAATGAGAATAACCAAGTAGTAAGTGAAGCTGACAGTCAAAAACGCGAAGAGTCCCAGAATAACGAGGTACGTGTTCAGTTCGCCGACGAAACAGCAAATTCGAAGGTAAACGAGGCTAGCGAAGGTGAACTTGCCCCACTCGAAGAAATTGAGGCCAACGACGATGAGAATCGTAACAAAAGGTTCCTCAATTTCGGTTTTGGCGCGTCGGGTGCTAATAGTGGCGGTGCTGGCGGAAGCGGCGGGGGCTCCGGTAACTTCCTCTTCGACATCATCAGGGTAAGTCGATCTATACAGGATTTTTTTTTACAGTCATTCGATTTTTACAGCTGATTCATCATAACAAAAATAGCGACTTTCTTCATTATATCAGCATAGAAGTGAAAATAGCGACAATGCGGTTTTTATCATATCTAGAATAACATTCGTTAGATGTCAATTCGTTATAGATTTTTCTTTGTGTTCTTTTAAAGCATACGTTTTAGCCAAATTCAAGATACAAAGGATACTTTTGTATAATTTTGACAATTTATTGCCATTAAAGTCACAATTACAAGTTTAAGAAATCAAGAATTTAAACTTTTCGTTGAAAATATTCTGAATATTTTTAATTATTTTGAATAGGAAGTTGGTACAAAATTCATTAACCTGTTTTGCATTTTATTTTTATTTATTTAATTTATAAATGTATAATATTATGTACTCCAAGTATATAAATCTTTATCGGCAAATATTTAATATTTTGTTCAACATTCCTTGAACAATTTATAGTTGACATATTGTTTTAAATGGAAACTCTACATTTAATCTATTTAATAATTTTTTTCGATTATGTTCGATTCGAAATTTAGAAAATAATTTGTCATATTTCCCGAATATATAATTACGAATTTTTAATTTAACGTGCTTATTTGAATTGACCATATGGTTCCTGAAGAACTTCAATAAAATATCTGAATAGAACAGAAACGATAAAATGTTCAGTATACCTTATATTTTCTAAAATACGAGCAAAAAATGTTGGCCTATTTGAAATATTCTTTCCTTTATTAAAATCATTTTAGAAAAAGGTAGAATGAAAAATTCCTTTTATTGAATATTATATACAAAACTTGGAGTAAATTGATGCATCCTAGAAAATCAATATTAACAATCACTTCTGACTTCTATAATTAAACAAATTTATGTTAATATATTATATATGAAAAATTATTAAATGAATTATGCATCTTAATATATTGATTGTGAGAATCGCATTTGTTAGGTATTAAGGTTTTTCTATTTTATTTTACAAAATATGAATGAAACTTTGATTAATATGAGTTTTGATATTATTCAAATGCGATAGCGTTTAATTGTTACTCTTCATTAAAATTTTTACTATAATAAATAACGAAATTGAAACCAACTAAAAAATCATAAAAATTTTTAAAAATACAGTAAAAGTATAATCATTCTTAAATTTAAATATATTATAAAATTATTGCAGATTGTCAACGTCTGTTTAAATAATATTATAAAATAATAATGATTACTTGGCAAATTATATAATAATTCCTTAATATTAAATTGAACGGTTTTAAATCATTAATCAATAAAACTTAATTCATTGTATAAGAAATTATTTTAGACAAAAATCAATTCGAGCGATTATCTAGAAAGTATAAAATATTATCACAACATTAAATACGCAACTGATTTCTACGAATATTATTATATTTACTTGCTCGTCATTATGAGGAATAGAAATTATTAGACTAGCCTACTCTATCGAATTATAGACTTCTTAAAACAATGATATCCAAATTTTCAGTAACAATTTATAGATTAAAATAGAAAATAATTAAAGTTATAATTTAATAAGTTATTATTGAATCTAATAAAAATCGTTTTATACAAAAGTGTAATAAAATTTTGAACTAAATGTAAATTACGCATAATGGTACATACGTAAATGATAACGAGATCTGAATAAAAATTGAACTACAAGTTTAAAAAATACTATCTCAACTTTTACGACTTAAAACTGCCTGAAATGAAAGAAAATATTTCAATTGAAAGGAGAAAGGAATAAATTAGAATATATAATTATGTCTTTCGTGAGTTTATGAAACTTATTGTTTGAATTGAGGTAACGCGTGACAGCATAGTAACGAGGCTTTTTTTAATACAAAACTTGCCTAGAGTCTGCTCTAAATTAAAATGAAAAAAATTCGCTTATTTTAACTTCATTATCGTTCGTGAGTATTATTAACCTCACGAATGCAACACAATCACGCTCTATCGCGCATCGAAGGCATTAACGTCGCGTGCAGAGAAAACGTGCGGCCATTGCCGCCGACAGCACTTTTCCGCGTATTATCGTATTACAGGCGCCAACGGTCGAATGGCCTGCAAGTCTCAGTAGTAATAGGCTGGCAACGGTCCGCCCTTGTAGGTGAAAGTGCACGCGTTCGCGAGCCCATAAACGGTCGGTCCTCTTCAAGGTTTCGTCAAGATTTCCCTCACGTTTCACTTTGGATGATGCCGCTTTATGCAGCTTTAAATATTATTAACAATGTCAGTGGCTGTAGAGTACATCATTATTGTTGTCTCTTTACGACTCTACTATTCTAATTTCATAATTAACTGAGTTGAAATTCTGACTCTGCTTTCGTCTTACAAATATCAAATGCCTTATAACGACATTTATATTTCGTAAACGTAAAATTGTACATTCTTATACAAATGCGCTTATGAGCAATGAGTTGCTTCAATTGCAAAAATAGCTCTGTGCGAAATTAGTTTCGAAACTCATTTCAGATTCGGTATTGAAATAAGAATAATATATACGTGGATAATAGGAATTTACTTTAGTTTATAAATAATCATGCTTTAGCATATAAAATCATACATTTATAATAAATGATAATATATAATTATAATTATATTTTTATTCTTTAAAATTATTTCGATATTTTGCAATTTAGATGCTCGTCTATATAGAATTATTTAAATGACTATGGATCCTTGTACCAATATTAACTTCTTTCAAAATAATTAAAAAATTAATTGTCTTTTACTTATTTTATCAATTTTTGCAGGCAACGTTATAATGATAAAGAAAAATTTATTTTGTTGATACTATCTTGTGATATTTCTTTAATGTGTCATGAATATGTGTTGAATATATAATAGACATTTCAACCTACACCAAAGTGTAAAAGATACTATCGCTGGTGATAACGATGACGATAACGATATTAATAATAGTGATAATAATGTAAAATCCATTCAATTAGTAATTATTAAATTAAAAATTCTTTGTTAAAAAAAAAAAAAGAAAAAACTAGAAACTAGATAACGTTATACTTCAACATATATATCTTATAAAAACTGATATATATATATATATAACTTTGTAGTTTATAAATAAATAGGAATCGTGAAGAAAAGAGAATATAATAATATATATGTTATATAATATTTTATATCACATATATAAACATACATAAACATTTTTATTGCACACAATTTGCGCATGATACAAATTGATATATTATCGGATATTGTTAAAAACGTATTCTCAACAATATAATTGAATAATTGATAATGACTAATGCAAAAAAAAATTATAGCGTGTATTACGAACTTACATAAAAATACAAATGGCGCAAAACTAGATTAATTAAAGCTATGTTCTTATGATAATTGCAAAAAACATTCTCCATTTACATATACTATTATAACGTCATCAGAAAGGAAATATCGCAACGAATGAAATGTACGTAAATACACATATAATTTTTATACTACACTGCCGGTGATTGGCTAGATAACTTTTCGTGTTTTCTTTTCTGGTTCGCTTATTTCGCTCTCGTGCAGCCTTTTACCGGTATATACAACATTCTAAATTTATCGATACGACAGCGTAAAAATTGCAATACTGTGCATTGGTAGATAATATTAATTTAATCGGAAAAAAATTTGAAGTCTATAATTTTTTCTTACTACTACTGCATTTAGATTCTTGTAAATAGGTGTAAGAAAATTGCACAGAACTTTTTAAAGTTAATAATTTATAATTATCCCACAGTTATTCATAATAAACTAGTCGTAATAAATAGAAATATTTTTTATCGATAACACGCCCATACAAACAAAATAATAAGAACAGTAAATAGCATAGACTTCATACTAAAATCTGTCAATCGTTGTTCAAACTTTTACTAATTTTTTATAACACCAATCTATCACAGCAATATTAAAAATCTCATCATATATATTAAAAATGTCATTGTATTCGAATTAAACATACAAAGCAAATTGTTTGAGAGAAATTACAATAATTCATTTATAAAAAATATTTTGAAGTACTGTGTAGGATACAAAAGCATATTGAATGTTATATATAAATATTATAAATATTATAAAACTTTGATTAACTTACTTACTTTTTTATAGTTCTATTTTTGCAATAAAAATAAAGTATTAATAGAACTTTAGTAAGATATTAATAAATATCAGAGATAGACTTTTATTATGTAGTCAATTTATCGTCCACATAATTAAATTAATAAAAATAAAATTTATGTTTACTATAAATTGTTTAGTGCTTAACGACTATTTATAACATTACAGGATACACATTTTTATAAATGTACTGAAAAAGTTAGTCACATTTAATGGAATTATATTGCGAAATTATTTCACTCGAATTTCATACATACACTGAAAATGAAAAGGAGAAAGGTGTCTTATCGAATACAAAAAAAAGTTTTATATATATTGTGTTTTAAATAAAAAAGGCAATTGTTTTTCAATTATGTAAACAAGTAATTATAGAGACAATATAATTCAGAATGTAGCATATTGTTTTCTGTTTGGCTTTTTTCTATATTTAATGAAACTGACTTAATTGTTTGAATTATAATTAAGAAGCGTAATCTATTTATTACAAAAATTCAGCTTCTGAGAAATCATAGAATGTGTTATTTATTTCTTTGCATAATTTCTAACTAGGAAGCTACTATCGTAAGATAATATTGTGTAAAAATTTTGTAAATTATTTGATAAAGAAATCAAAATTTAATTCCTATATATAGATAAGGAATTACATAATACTGTATAGAAATAAGTACACATATATGGAACGATACATGTTAAATTATCCAATTGAATGCATACAAGTGTATTTCTAAATTAATTGATTGTCTTTGTAAATTAATTGTATGGTATTTTTTACATTAATATTGCAATAATCGAGCCCAAACCAGAGACAGAAGATATTTGTAAAGTGTTAGTTGTTTCAAGATATAAGAACTTGATTTACACTATATTCGATCACTAATGGTTTTATGTACTCATACGAACATTAAGTCCACATGCATGATTACTTCAATCTATCGAACATTACATTGACTTGACAATCCACGCTAACACATACATATATAACCCCCTCCATACACACACGCACGCACGCACACACACACACACGCGCGCGCGCGCGCACACACGATTTGTACAATTACTTTAAAACAAAACAAAACAAAAAAAAACAAAAAACAAAACAAAACAAAAAAAAATTGCGCGCTCTGATAAATTATCATAAAGCGGATGGATAAAGAGCGGTATACCATAGGGTGCATGGCTCCGAAAGAAAGAGAAAAAATATATGAATAGTGAGAGAGAGAAAGAAGTGCTGAGGGCTCATGCCCGCAGAATCGATAGTTGCGTAGGATAGGCGGGAGCGTAGTAGCGAGATAGCGAGGAATCCCGATGGAAGCGAAAAGGAAGGCCAGTGAAACGAAAAAGCAACCTATGTATATCCGTAGCAAGCAGCGGACGGCGCGGCGAGAGCCGCGGGTACGGTGTACCGGGTGGTGGCCGGCACCCAGAGCCTCGGGCTTGGTCTGAGTGCGTCGCGCGACGTCGGCCCGGCCTCGGCCCCGATGATGCCCGCCCCGGCCCCCGGCATGATGCCGGCCGGGATGATGCCCCCTCCACCGGGGCCTCCCATGATGCCCGGGATGATGCCGCCCCCGGGGATGAACGGAACCGCCATGATGCCACCGGTACGAGGAGCCCCGGCGACACCTCCCACGACCACCTCATTGTATCTCTGAGGCTTCATACACTTCATTTGTTACCTCCAGCGTCGTTATTTATTAATCATAAACCACCATGAAGCTTATGCCACTACGCTCATTCGCGCACTTCACTTGCGTCTATGTACTTGTCGACTTTTTTTTTACTTTAGCCTTTCTTTTTGTTTATTCGATTCCCTAACGGCCTTTACTTTCGTCCATACGTATTCAGTTGGTACGACTTTGATGCTCAGTCAAGCGATCATTAAGTGGTCTTAACTTGCTTAATAGTAAGTAATTTTTCATTTTCGAATGAGCATTATAAAATTAACTAGTTTACCGCACTGTAGATTCAACTGCGCTTTAAATTTTGCATTTATTTGCAAAAACACATCGCATCCCATACACTTATACTATTCTTCTTAAATAATTATAACAACTATAGCAATAAATTTAACTACGAATACAATAATTAAACAACAATAACAAACTTAGTGTAATTGTTATATTTCTACTATGAAGTGTACATGGCAAAACCTTTCAACAAACATTACATTATTCCATATATTAGCTGGTATTATTTTATTTTACTTTATTTTATTAAATATTTTACAATTTAAACTAACATTATAAATATAACAAACGGTATAGTTTATTAATGAAACAATTACTACTCCTATAACTGTAATAATTCTATAACTGTAATCCGTGTAATAATTATTTGATCCGCGTAATAATAATATCTTATCTTACTGAAAATGCGATACAAATTTTTTAATTTTTTTAATATCATATAAATTGTTGATTTCTAACCAAAACTCTTATTTGTACATTATGCGAATTAGAATGAAAATTTCGATATTTATAACTATGACATTTTATCAAAAAACACTAAATTTGGCATTACATCAGAAAATTTAATGATTATATTAAAAAAAAAAAAAATAAAAATATTATAACTTTTAACATTGAAAAGAATTGCCATTTGCATTAAAACTGCAATATCTGTTGAAATAGTAATAAATAAAAAAAATAATATCCAAATAGTTAAACGCTATTTAAGTTAGTATTATGTAGAATTATTATTTCACATGTCATAGTTTTATCGAATATAATATGATCCTATCAATATTTTATTATTCCATAATATTAACACCAAATACAAATTATTAACCACCAAATATTAACAACAAATACAACGCAGGAAAGTAATAACAAGTCGATAATACTTATGTATAAGGACTTTCGACATCTCTGTATTAATATAAAAAATATTTTACAGCCTCGACAAATTCAATATATGACTTAATTTATTAATGTTTAAAATACTTACTATACAAAAATGTGTAGATGCTCATTTTGAAATAAAGAAATTCAGAAAAATAAATAAAAAATTCTATTAATTTGAATTATTAAAATAAAATATATTCCATATTGATATAATCTTAAATATATTATTTTGTCCAATAAATGACATTTTCATTTAACTGTTTCTTCCTCAGAGCTTTAACAAGTACTTTTTTAACAAGTACTATCCAATAATATTTTTCTCATACAAAATATCAATAATTAGTTAATAATAGCTTATGGTGCCTATAAAAAACAAACACTGTTAATTTAATAAATACTGTCAGGATTCTAATTGTCCTATAATCTCTTTAAAGATACTTAATATACGTGTGAAATTATTAGCATCATTATGTACTTATAATTTAGAGAATCATTTATGTTGTGACACATTAATAAGCAGTTAAACTAAAGAAAAATTCTAAATAAATACCTATCTTCTAAAGTATAAAATTAATTAATTTTCACTGTACCAACTATTATGTATTTTCGAATGTAAATGTTTTATATGATTATTATGATAGAAGTATAGCAGTATTAATTATCAAAACATAAATTTGTTCCACTTATAATTACTCAATTTTAATGAAAATTAATGCCATTCACTATATTATTACATAAGTTGGAATAAATAATGTTTGAAAATATTTTCTACTGCTATTTTCAAATATATTTTTTTAAAATTAATTTTTTTATTTGGATTTTTAACCTTTCAGTGACTTCATTATTTAATCCTTTTAAGTAAGTAAAATTTAAATTATAGTTTTTTACTTACTACTAATTATTCATTTATATAAATTCTATGTTATTTTTTCCCATATAAAATATTTCATATTGAATTCTCAGTAAAAAAAAAATGAATATTCTTTTAAAACTTTAATTAATACATAGCAATATATATATATATATACAGTCTTAATTTTTATAGTCTAATTATTTAAAATCATTTCCATGTATTTCACGTAACTATAAAAGATGCTTACGATTAATAGAATTTTAATATAAAATAGATGACTATAAATTAATATGGTATTTGTCTAAATATTATTTTATTATTTCGTTAAATGTAAAAGACGTAATTAGTTGCGTCATTAATGGAAATAAGAAAATCCTCGATGACGTTTAAAATATAATTTTCCTATTACTCGTTGTTTGAGATTCATATGAAAATATTTGATTTACAGTAAATAATAATATACTTCTTTAAAATTGAAGTGCAGTAAGAAAAAAGTTTAATCTATTCGACAAATAGACGCAAGAAAAAGCACATATATTTATCGCTTCATTCTGTACTGACTGTTTTATCTCAAAGCACCAATTGTTTATCATTTAACGCACATTAACATCACGTAGCCATTACTTATTATTCGCTGCACTCATCTAACCTTATAAAATTTCACTCACCTAAGCACCTACTCGCCTCGTCTTTGATCACCTTTTTTTTCACTCGCATAGACTTTTAGTGCGAATTATTCTAAATCAGACATTTTCTTCCAAATTATCGATGGAAGATCAATTTCAGTCTCTTCAACTGTCTTTACAATACTTCTACTTTTTACTCGACTTAAACTAATGCGTCCCTACATTACAATCCTTACTACATATTACTCTAAACCTTTATTATTATCTATGAATGTTTTCGCTTTAAATTTCATTTACTATTTTACTCCATTTTACTATTTTTCAATATTTTCAAATAACCTGATCTGTGTGATTACTTCTCTTCTCTTTTCTTATTAACGATTAGCTAATGAAAATGTTACGTTATTTCTATAAATTAATTTTTTTAATAAAGTAAGTCTACGTTTCCGTTGTTCTATTCTTATAATGTTTTAGTAAATTTATGAATAAAATAAACAATTATACAAAATGGCTATATAGAAAAGTATACATTTTTAAGACTCCCCCTTCCCCCCCCCCCCCCCCCTTTTTTTTTTTTTTTTTTTTTTTTTTTAATTTTCGACTCAAATCTCTACCTACCACCATTCATGTTTAAGTAGCCTTTACTACTAAGTGTCCTTAACTGTAATTAAACAAGTATCATCATATCATAAAGTAAAAATAATCAGTCCTTTATCTTCACCTCCACTATGCCAACCACCAACGGTCCCGACGCCACGCCGACTTATCACGGACTTAAAATAATGACATAATTGCTGGCCAAATGAGAGCCACGCAACGAACGAATGACGAACACGTTTTCGTCACTTGGTGAAAAAAAAAAAAAAAAAAAGAAAAAGAAAAGTACGACGAGTTCTCATATTCTTCTTAATTGATTTCATTATTAACTTATCACGCCGTGTCATTGCCGACTCTCATGATACTTTTGCACTTTGTATTTTTAGTAATGTTGTAATTTAATGTAGAGAACCTGTAGATAAGCGACTATAGTATAGTGCATTATAGCCACTTGTAATTTGCTGGTAGGCGAGTCCGCCGCGAGTTTTCATTTGAAAAGCTTCATAAAATTTTGATTTCACTCGAATTGCTTGAGCATTTCAATTTGATCGTCTTAATGATTAACTATTTGCAGTGAATGTAACTTAGTCACGGTTGTTTCGTCTGCCAGGTATAAATCATCTATTCGTAGTGTAACAAAAGTACGAAACATATTTTGAGTAACGTCACAAATTAATCACAGCATGTTGTCCCGTACTACGGGGAGGTTTATTTGACAGATATTTATCTATTTAAAAAAAAAATTCAAACCTGTCGCGTACTTCATGCTGTGGCTAAAATAAGTGCCGTACAACTCGAGAATATCAGTATGCGCTGCATAGCACTCGTAGAACAATATGTATTTGAAAAAGTCTCATGCACATATATCTTAAAGAGAGAGAAAACGTATGCAAGTTAAAAGTACTGTAGTCGTAATGATGTAATAATTGGTTTAAACTATTTATGAATGAGAATGTGAGAGGGCTTTTGTACATCATACACGGGGACGTTTTTTTTTTCTTTCTTTTTTTTTCTTCTTTTTTTTTTCTTTTTCTTTTTGTACCACAATGAAGTATTATATATCACGTATGTACAGGAGCAAAGTCGTAGCGATAGGATCGATGGAAATGTATTAGCAAGAACAATAAAAAGCAAAGTACTACCATTTATAATCATAGAATGTCGTAAGGAATGGGAGATATAAGCTGTTTTTTGCTGTTGCGATCGTTTGTATTTTTTAGTTGATATTATTGTTATTGTTGTATTGAGCACCGTAGTGTCGGGAACGCTGGAGCTGGACGTGGAAATGCAGTGTGCGTACTCTAAATCAGTTTCGAAAAAAAAAAAAAAAAAAAGTAAAAATGTTCCTTTGCTAACTTGTCGTAATTGGTATGTTTATTCTTGAGGAAGTAACTAAATTTCGGTGTCATTTGATCTTACAAAGATCATTGAATCGCATTTTCTTATTAACTATTTGTGTCTGGAAATGTAAATAACTAACGATGAAAATAACGACGACATTGGTAAAGCATTTCACGTAGTTGAATAATCTCTATGAACTTTCTATAATTATATAAACAATCTCTCATGAATTATCAATTATTGTAGTACATATTTTTTGGTAATTTATTATGCTAATTTTACAACTACGCTCAATGTTATTACCGATATGAGTTTGAAACGTAAAATTTCTCCTGCTAAAATACTTTTACGAGTTTCACTCAAAATCTAATATTAAATAAGACAAAATTAATTAAAAATTCAATCTATCTGAAATAATAATTAGTATCTCACGCATTGTGATATTTATCGAAGAAAGAGATATTAATAATAGTAAAACTATGAATGAAACGATTTAGTTTGAAAATATTTGCATGATTTTGAATTACTTTTCTACGCGTATCTATGTTTCCGACAATTGTATGAAGTGTCAACTAACTTTTCAATTAATTTAGAGTACGTACCTCATAATTATGCATTACAAAGCTCTACTCTTTACCTACCGCGACAATTCGATCCTGCATCGCTTTTACAGTTTTATTACAATTCTATGTTGTTTTTTACATGTCCAGCAAAAAAAAAAAAAAAAAAAAAAAAAAAAAAATCCCTGCTTTGAAGAGCAGTAATTGCTTATTTCCTAGAATTTCCGACATATGACACTTTTTTTGTAAAACTGATAATAGACCTTATATCATGGCATATTTAAATTTCTTCGTGGGTTTTCAATACAATCAACATTAGCTAATGTAATGTATTCTTTAACATAACAGTTATTATTATGCAATAGTTATATCTAATTAGTTTTTAAAGCTCAAATTTAATCATAAATATTGTAATCCAAGTCTGAATTATGAATATCGTATATATTAAATTTGAAATGTAAATAATGTAATTATATATAATAATAGTAAAATATAGTGAATTTGTATTGTAAAGTAGTGAAAAGTAAAATAATCTCATAGCCTATTTTGGAAAGATGAAAATGAAAAATCACTCCCGTAGATTAATATGTCTGAAATTTACGAAAATTCATATGCCTGATTTTCAGTTTTACAAAAAACTTACATTAAGATCGTCGAAATTTTCGGAAATTGTACGGTAAGGAATAGGTAAGCGAGCGAATACTGATGCGAATCGGTTTTTGCAGCTGGTAGCTGGAAGTGGTAGCAGTACTAGCGATCCAGCAGCTGGAGCTCCAACTCCCGGACCTCTGACCGAAGCTGTTCCTGGACCCGTCACGAGACTTTTCGTTATCGCCAATCGAGGTATTTCCAACCTAATTCAGGACCTCATTCTTGTAAGTACAAGTTCTATGTTCTCCTTTCTATTCATTATTCATCTACTTGACAATCAGTGTTATTCAACCTCTTACAATACGTACATTATGTTTCAAAATCATAATACTTAGCTTCGATATGACTTAATAAACTTGTGAAATTTTACATCATCGGAGGAATTAATTGTAATTACAATAATTTCAAATAACACAGCTCCCTAATTTTATATATTCACATTGTATATATTTTTTCTGGCTATTTTAACTTTATCAGAATAATATAATTAAGAGATTTTACGTTTAAAAAAACCTTCTCTAGTTAATTACATATTAATTTTATATCAATTAATTCGTACATGCTCAAACTTTACTATTATTCACTATTATTTATTATTAATTATTATTATCATCGTCATCATCATCATTTTTATTATTATAAATTATTATTATGATGCATATACATACATAAACACGTAATGTTCTTAACACTTATCTTCTAACTTGCCTAACTTGCATTCTAAAAGTAAAAAAGATCTAATAAAATAGTGATTTTTCTCTTAGCGCATTTATTTCATTTATATTATTTAGAAATCATAAAAGTTTTTTTATTATGTTTTATAAAATTAATTAACTCACATTAAATTTACGAAGAGTTTCGTATGTACAAAATTACAAAGAGGACACATAAAGAAAATAGGCAACTCGATAAAAACGCAATATTTGTAGCTTGTTAAGCATTTAATAAATACACACATGTTGAACTACTGTGACAAATACGTACATACCGGACTTAGTCATAAAAGCATTTCAAATTATTCCACGTTTCTCTCTTTCACTATTTTCCTTTCTCTTTTATTTTTTTTTTTTTTTTTTTTTTTTTTTTTTTTTTTTTTTTTTTTTTTTTTTTATACTTGCATTTTTTTTTACTTTTGAAGGAAAATTTAAGAATCAATCAAACATTAAACTCCCAATAAAATAATGAAAAATTTTACTATTTTTACTATGTTAGGGCTATCACAATTATTATTTTAATTGTTTTAATTATTTTATATTAATCAAGAAAATCCGAATAAATTCATTATAGAATTTGAAAGTTAGAAAGCAGAACACACTTTTTAGTCGCTTACTTTTAAGAAATATTTTCAAATCCCAAATAATTATAAAATATATATTGTGTAATAATATAATTAATGTACTTCTTTTTCTGATATTAATAAGTGGTAGATAAATGATTCTTTGCACGTGTCTTTCAAATTACTCAACATTATTGAACAACATTGCTTATAAAACATTGTATTAAAAAGTAAATAAAATACGATCAAATTCAATAAATTATTTTATTTTACCATATTTTCAAATTTGCAAACCGATTGTCTAATATTGTATAATTAGTATGGATGAATATAATTTTATAAATATAGCTCACCTAACTTATTTTTACAACTATTTAAACGTCAGTTATATATTTCTTGTGAGACACTATCGTTAATTATACATCTTATAATTTTCACGTAAATTTATGGCATATTATTTAAATATGAAAATTTTATCCGACGAATTCTAATAAATAATATATCTAAAGAAAAATTTTAAAACACTATATACTTGTGACAATAAGATAAAATAATAATAAAATTCTTAATAATCATATGTAATTATTGAAAATATACTTTATTAATATTAAAAGAATAATAATGAAAATATTATAATAAAAGTTAATTTCATAATTGTTTTTATTTTCTATTATATAATTTTCTGAATAAACGAAAGTACTTCGATTAAAATTATCGATTGGTAAAATAAAGTCTTTAAAAAATCATGGCTTCATTTATTCATATTACAATTTTCATAATATTTTTTAGAATTTAGATTTTTAATTTTTCAAATTACCTGAATTAAATTTATCAATTTATTCTTTCGACTTAATTAAAATTTTTTATTCAGTGTTATTTAAATGTTTGAAAGTAAATAAATCCCTTCATATTATGTAATATGTCAATTAAAAAAAAAAAAAACTTGACTCTTCAAATTAATTGATAAGTGATAGTGTCTTTCGTCCTATACAGAATTCCTTTTTATGACGAAAAAAATCCATATAAATCTTATCAAAGGTAGAAATACATATAATTATAATGAAAATAGCGTAATTGAAATGGAGATTTCCTTACAATTATTTTAAACAAAATGATCCATACATATGTATGAAAATCAAACATAGGAAAAAATTATTCCAATTAATGCCTTTCAACATACTCTTTGCAAGCAATTATGTTTCGATATATATATATATATATATATATATATATATTTCTCTCTCACTTTCTCGCTTTGTCACTTATTACCGCTTCATTACCTCTAAATCTTGCATCAAATGCAGGCGCTCGCGAGTTAAACTATCAACCTGATAAAATAGATCGGGTTAAGCCGCATATTCGAAAGGTCATACTTTGATAGAATGATATCTAAGCATCAATATAAAAGTAAAGGCAAGCGTGCACGGGCACCGATAAGTTACATAAGTTCAACGACGGCTGGACAGTAGGAGTCGAAAGCAAAAATTTATATCCGCGCGATACTTTCTCTGCGAAATAGCGCCCGAGTGACCGAGCGACTTATGCAAGGCGCGTTCGACTCGTGGCACGCGCAAATCCAGATCTTACCCGCGGCCTTTAATATTTGAGCGGCCAAGAGCTGAATGTAGGAGTAGGTATTGAGAAAAGAAAAATGCTATTATTTTATTTATGAGGCTTACAATTATTCGTTAATGTTTGACCGTGTGGCGAAAGCCGTCTACAATTTTTAAACTACGCGCTTGTATTGGGAGGTCAAAATGAGTTTTACAGTTTCATTTTATTGGCCTTGTATGAACTACATGTACTTTCACAATTTGCATGTATTATTATTACTTTTTGCTCGCTTATAATTTTTCAATTACGGTGAATGTCTAAGGCAACATTTATGTCTCACTTGAAAATACCCATATTCATTGCATGCTTAAAGTGTGAATACTTAAAAAATTTTTTACATATTTTCGCTAACATTAAAGATAGTATAAACAATTTAATTTAAAGGAATAATAATGACCGATACTTGTAATAATTACTATTATTCACTTGTATGTTAATAAATTAGCTCGGATTTAGAATTTCAAAAACCACAAATTCTTCGATTCATTATAAAACAATTTGTGTTTGACTATTTTTATATCAGATAATCAAAATAATTAGTTAATTTTTCAGACATTAATTTTGTATACGCTATATAATCCTGTAGATTTGTATCTAATTTATCTGCATTAACATTTAAATGAAAGTTTTTCAAAGGCATTCATTAAATAATATTTACAAAATGTTTATATGTACAATATCATATTAACACTTGAAAGTACTATAAGAAAAAAATTATGTTTAATTTATATATATAAAATTTGAGCGTACATATGTACGTACCAATTGAAGCATATACGTAATTGAAAATTTTATACACATTCTATTCCTATAAGAACCGTAATTTAATTAGTGTACACTACATTCTGTTTATTACTAAAAATCTTGATAAATTATATATTTATTGTATTTGTTTTAATTTATCTTTTGTAATCAATGGTTTTTATAATTAAAACATGAGTCCAAAAGTATCTAACAACAAAATAGTCCTTTATTATCAGTAATTTCTATAGAATTGTATAATCTGTAACAGTACATGCATTACAAATTCATATCATAACTTTTACTTTTAATTAAACGTTTGTGTTTCAATATAATAAATACACAGATGTTAAACTGCATTATTTTTTTTTTAAATACATGATGCAAAAATGATAATAAGGCGTATACTTACTTCCCGAATGATTACAGCGAGTTTTTTTTTTTTATTTTCTAGCAAAGACTATAAAAATTTATTCTTCCTTCCATATTGATACAATAACAGTTGTTAAATAGAAATTATTCTAGCGAAAAATTTATTTACGCATAAACATTAAAAATGATTTTGTATTTATTTATTAAAATATGCATTGTAATGTTTAAAATTTCAATACATAACGATTCAGATGAAAATTGAAGTTTCCCGTATATAACTATCTAAAGAAAATTAATGAATTTTACACTAATATATTTTCTTCTTAAATTAGTAAATAAAATTGATTGTAAATTAAAAAATTAACGATAATTTAATAAAAAATTGTTAAGAAGATTTTTGTGCATGCAATTTTATCAGTATTTTAGTATGCTTTACTTTAATTTCCCTTCTTTCAGTGGTTTTTGCTAAGAAAATATATTCCGATTTCTAATAATGATAAGGTCTAACGATTTCCTCCTCTTTTTTCATCTTCTTTCCATGAAGTTTTAAATTACTAATTTCTATGCTATATATAATACGCCTTTTCTTCGCTAATTGAAATATGGAAACTCTGAAATAAAACTCGCACTGTCTATAATCAGATGATATGCAATTATTCTTTCGTGACAAATTAAGTATTATGCAAATATTATAAAACTTAATCCAACTAATAATGAAAGAAAATTGAATTTATACTTTATTTTTAAAAATTTTATAATTGAACTTAATCTTTTTAGACATTTGTTTTAAATTTGTATATATTTCAATTAACTAGATATTTTCTGTACATTAATGATAGTCTACTTAACAATGAGGTTGTTATTATATATATTTATATATATATATATATATATATATTAGTAATTTTATAATAATTATTCATATTTATTTTATACTTTTGTAACGATTTCAACTCATTAATTACATATTACAATTAATTGCAATATAATAATTATATATAAACGATAGATAATATAAATAGAAAAAGTTTAAGAAAAAGTTATAATATAAAATTTAATTTAATTTTGAACTTATAATTAAACAGAATATTTTCAGAAATACATAATTTTAAAATTCTTTTTAATTGGCAAATAATCTTGAATAGTTTTTGTCATGTATGTCATATAATAAATATATAGAATCCATAAAGTTGTGATTAAATATGCGAAATCAATCAAACAATTTACAGAAATAATTGAACATAATAAATTTTTCTCACAATCACTTAATATTATAATAAACTTTTTTAAATTAAATTTTTGAAAAAACAATTTTCTAATAATGTTTTATTATGTGTGCAAAAGTATTTGAATAATGAGAAAAAACTAATTGAACATCAATTTTTTAGCGCTTGGCTGCAACAAGTGAACGCATCGTCAACTTCAAGGCGCGATTGATTACTTCCATCATCTAGAATCACCTGAGTCCATCTCTAATAAATTTCAATAATAAGCCCATGAATAACCACAAAAATCTGCAGCTAATAAGAAAAAATCGTAGCTTGTGAAATAATATGAGAGAGAGAGAGAGAGAGAGAGAGAGAGAGAGAAAAAGTGTTCATGTGCAGAATTAAGAAGTCACCAAGTAATGTAAAGAAGAATCATCTTCAATGAGTTTGTGTTGGGGATTGGACCACGGGAACGACGATTCCAACGTTATATAAGAAATATTATAAGTAAATATATATATATATATATATATATATATATATATATATATGTGTGTGTGTGTGTGTGAAGACGATTGGACAGAGGGTATACTTATTATATTCTCAAATGCTCGTAAAGCATGACGTTGCTCCTTGTGCCCGTGAGATCCAAGTGAGGAAACTGTTCTATTTTCTACAATGAAAATTAACCGAACACGGAGAACATTACAGCAATTTTAAGCCTTTTTCTTTTATTTTCATTCGTAAAATATACACACATATATGTGTTCATATATATATATATATATATATATATATATATGCATTCATATTTATGTGTGATATACTTTTTATTATCATTGTTTAATAAATTTTACCTTTACTATGTGTTTCCTTTTCGTAGCTTAAAGGAAATTATTTTGATTGGAATATTTAGAAAATTATTTAAAAAATTAATATATATAGATATTTTTTTTATATAATTTTACTAACTATACAATTCGGTAAATTCTTGTAAATGTCCGCAGGTTCAAGCATATTTAATATTTCAAATTAATTTCATTTACATAGATTTTGCAAATATTAATTACGAAATTAATTAAATTTCTTCAAAATAATTTCCACTAATCTTTTGCTTACTTCTCATTTTTTCTTTTCATAATCTTTTACATAATTGTATGACGACTTGTGGAATTTCATCGAATCGTTCTCGATGCCGAAATCTGTAGGTTCGTGACATATCCATTACAATCCTGTTTAACGTTTTCTTTACCTTGGCATTTTGGTCGATTCGACGGTATATGAAAACAAAGTACGCGTACGTAATAATAAAGAAAATAATATACTGCCTTTCATTTCTCTATATTATTATAAATAGCGTGTATAGATAAAGCGCAAGCATACTTGTATATAGTTCCACATTCGGACGCAAACATAGTGCCAAGCGTTGTTGATTGTTTGTTAAACGAGACGCAATGATGACGAATTATTTTTCATTAAAGAATTTTCGTTACAATTGAGACATGTTCTGTGGTTGGATATTCAATGTATCATTTATGGAAATTTTGAAAAGATTTCATTTATTATTGAAATTAATCAATCCACTGCATTTAATATATTAAAATATAGATATATATTTCTAAACTTATTATTTAATTTTATTAATTGAATGAAAAACAATGAACGAAGGCAATATAACTTATAAAAGAACTTATAAATAAAATATAACTTATAAAAGAACTTATAAATAAAATATAAATCGAGACTTTACTAAATCATATAATAAAAAACAGAAATTTAAAAATATTTATTTCAACAATATTTACTTCATTCCTATGAATTTTATTATTACATTAAAATTAATTATTAATTTTGGGATATTTGTAGTCTTGAGTAAAAAAAAAAAAAAAATTCAATTACTAAAATTATATAAAGAGTTTAATATATAGCATTAATATGATCTACTACAGTTTTGAGAAATAAATATTTATATTTGTGTTCTATATGAAACGTAATATTATATAATATATATATATATATAAGAAATTAAGTAATTTCATCTTGGAAAAACTAATCATAAATGGATATAACAATATGAAAATTTTATGATGCTATTAAATATTATATTTATCGAAGAAATATATATATATATATATATATATATATATATACAATTATTACATTCATATAATAACACAAATAAAAATATAAATAGAATAAATTATCAACTATAAGAAAGAAAAGGAAAATAAACGAAAGCCATCAAATGTGAACATTTTTATCAACAATTAATCCCTAAGAGATATTCATTTTGTTTTATAAAAATTTAAGTTTACATTATGTATTTGTTCAAATGAACATTGTCGTTAAAAAATCAGTTTTTTTTAAAATTATTTTGTATCCTTATTATTTGCAGAACGTTGAATGGGTTTGTAACAAACTATACATTCCAATGATAATGGCGAAGGATAATATTGTATAAAATGTTTCTTCATATTCATTTTGTTATTTTCTAGTGTAAATAAATTTTATTACAAGAAAAACTGTATATATTTCAATTTTTATTTTAAGATCTAATAGATTTTAAAATATAAGATTTCTGACACATATAAAATGTTACGTTGAAATGTAAGAAAATCAATACGTACTTATGAAAAATTATAATAAAAAAATAACATCGAGATTAAAAAATTTCAATGACTAAGTACTTGCTCGAATAAATCACGTTGCAAAGTAAAATGTTGTATTTATATCGTTAACTTGATAAATAATTCATTAATTTTTTATATTCAATAATTGTAAAGAAGATAAATACATTATCGGAAAACTGTTTTCAAAAAATCATCATGCACTTGCTATTTATATTTTTTAAACCAATAAAAAGTAAATTGTACCAACAATGTATGAATAATCTCAACGACTATTGCATAATTATAAAAGTAAACGTAACATTTAAACAAAATTAATTATACCATCATTACTAAAAATTAATCCTACATATATATTATATCTATATTATGTTAAATCTTTATATAGATTATTTTAGATTATTTACTTTTAAATTGTAACGTATATAAAAAATTTTTTAAATTTACAATTACAAATTAATTATAATTTTAATGCATTTTATGACGATAAGAATTTCGTAAACTGAGAAGAGAATAAATTTCAATTAAAAAATAGATATTTTTCAGTTATTCGAAATTGTTAATTATTTTAATCTTAAGAAATTATTCAGTCAACAACGCATATGATCAATAATATATAAGTTAATATGGATACATAGAATAAGTAGTTCATAAGTAGGAAAATTTTATCAGCAAATAAGCAATAAATCATCAATTCTTGCGTATAAAAAATAAATATTTATTCACATTAAAGTAGAGATTTACAATTTTTCAATGAAATATAACTTAAAAGTAATTTTTTTTTTTATCTAATAATGCATATTGAAAAAGAAAATTATGGTCAAATTAAAAACCTTATGTCTAATACAATATATTGCCTTATACCAATAAAATTAAAATGATTAGTTGTATAATAAAACAATTAATAATCATTAGTAAATATTTTTATGATTACTTTGTCATTAGTATTTTATTAAATATTTTATGTATTAATACGCATATATACATAATCGCGTCTGCGAACAGAAGAAATTTATATTTATATTAACAATTTTACGAATTTAAACATAATTTCTGTTATAATATTGGATTATATGATACTACTAACTAAAAATAATGTTTGTGTAGTTTGTTTACTAAGTATCAAAAGTAGTATCAATAGTAAGCTCAAAATTAATATTCTTAACTATTTTCTAGTCTAAAGCAATTGTAATTGAAATTAAATTCACTTATAGCTAATGAAATAATATAAAATCTATTATTAATCTTTCTAATCAAAGATGCATTATAATTTCTGAAATATATTTCTATTTTTCTTTTCACTTTTTTATTCTGGAAATGATCTTTGGAGTATTGAAATTTTCGATGCATGTAATAAGCACATAAAAAAACATAAATACCACTTAATAAGTGCAAATGGAATTCTTTCAAAACAATAATTTACAAAAAAAAAAAAAAAAAAAAAAAATTAGGTGAACTTTTAATCATAATTGAAGTAAAATGCTTTTTACTTCATTTGAAAACATCAGTTTTTTACAACTACTGCTTCTTTCGAGAGACACCAATAATATATTAGTAAGATATATAACAAGTTATAATAAATTTATATGTAACGGTTTCAATAAATTGTTTAAACGTGACAATAAATTGTTGTAACTATATTATTTTTTTTTTTTTTTTGTAAGTATTCAAATATAAAAAATCAAATTAGTTTAAAAGATAATGATTGAATTAATTATTTAACTTTATATCTGCGTATAGATGCGTATATACCGTGAAATTCCGTTTTGTGATGTATTCTGTGTATATTAGAAAATATTTTAACATAAATATTTCTTGTATACTCTCAGAAGACAATAAGATATATTATATAAATATTATATGTTCATCTTACATTAATAAATAAATCCTCGTTTGAATAGTTTAAAAATAGATGCCATTGTATCAAGTACTTTTTCATTTTTTACCAATAAGAAATGATTCGTCAATATTTTGTTACGAATAATATTTCATCGTGGATTATTGTTCAATATGACGATAAAATTACATGACTCATTCTAATCATATTGACATATTATTGCATTTAAAACGGATCTCCAATCTACAAATTAAGGTAATTGTGTGTTGGGAATTAGATAGTGACAGGTAGTACAAATATCGCGATAATTTTGCATTCAAGGTCTCAAAAACAATACTTCGGCGAAGATGACACAATCGGCGCGGCCGATTCATCTGATTCATTGACGTACACCGCATCGCCTAGTCGCACAATGCCGTTCGACGAATATAGTCCCAAGTTCAAGCCCATGACGGGGCTGTCAGATGTGTAGGGACGCATTTCCGGATTCGAGATGGTGCGATATCTAATTTGAACAATAAACAAAATTTAAACATCTTATATGATTATTGAAATTATCGTAAATTGAGTGAAGTTCAAAAATAAATCCATAAAAGTAAAAAAGAATAATAATAACAACAGCAAGGATAATAATTACAATAGACGTTGTAGCGATAATAGAAATAATAATGATAACATGGATAGTATTTTATTATTTATTAAATTTTATTAAAGCCCGAGGATACTGAATTATCAATTAAATTCAATATCCAATAAATTATGTTCTTTGGTATAGAAATTGAAAAAACAAACATATTACTTATTCTATTAAAGTGGTTATATTTAAAATTGATGTCAGCTCATATGAATTTACAGATATTGGATATTAAAGCATACGCGGGTAGGCATTTGTGGTGAAAATATATGGTACATACGATAATGATATAATTTATAATCATTAAGTACTTAATCCGACATTCGCCTATATATCAAATTATAATTTATTGCGTTATTATTATGTGATATTTATAGAATATATTAACAATTATTAGGCTTATATGCATTAATTTTAAATGTATTTCGTTAATAAAATTAAATGATAGAGAGTAAAATTTTATTGTGTAATTCATTCTTTAAAACAAAAAAAAAAAAAATTATAACGAACACTCATCGCTTATTATTATTGATAATCACGACTTTATATGATAATTTGATTACATGTGTATGAAATTATTTCTATAGTCTATCGTCGCTCATTAACCAGAAATATAATTAGCAAAGTCATTTATATCAAATAGTCATAGAGTTTTATTAAAGCTTTTATAATTTAACGATGATCTGATTATATTTTACGAGAAAAATCGCACTTTACTGTTAGTAATTGAAGTTTTAGCACACTTTGCTTAAAAACAAAAAAAAAAACAAAAAAAAACAAAAAAAAACAAAAACAAAACAAAAAAAAAGAATAAATTGGCAAGAAATTAAGTAGTGGAACAATAAAATCCTAGTAATAATTTTCAACTCTTATATTATTGAGTAGAAAAATTGTATTTCAAATTGATTATCATTGAATTTTCATCATCATTCATTCGACCATCGTCATCATTGCAATAATACTTAAAATACATTACAAATATGTAAATATCTATAAATTTGCCGTGTATGTATAAGCATGTATATACGTATAAGTATTTTCCTATAACAGAAATGTCGCAGATATAATAACTAAAGTACATTGAATCCCCAATGCTATTCAATAAGAAAACTCACTTCCTCAAAGTCTTCAAAGGTTCGACTGTCGGACTCTTGATACCCGTCTCCGGATCAATGGTTGTAAATATACAGCGCGTGCAAGGCTTAATATTGCGAAAAACTACCTGGCCAATTTTTATCCATTCCCAATTGTCCTCCTCCAAGACTTCGGCCCCCTTGACTAGGAAATTTGGCCTAAAATGCAATGGTGAGACTGGCTCGTCGAGCCTTGTATTCAAGTCGGCTATCGATGCCTCATTCTGAAGTGTGTAACTCGTACTGTCCGGGTACGCGCCCTGCAAATATCATTATTACTTTTCTTGCTCTTACTCATTGCTGGATTACAAATCAATTGGATGATAAAATGCGATCGCGATAATCGTGGTAATAGGAAAAATATGAAAAATCGCCTCCACCTTCTGGGACGATTGTTGTACGTATTTAATGTCTTTGCATGCATTAATGTCTTTATAACCTGTCTGAAGGATTATCTATCGATTTGACATAAGCTTACATTACAAAAAAAAAATAAAATAAAAAAATAAATAAATATATATATATATATATATATATATAACTAACAATTTCTTTTTCGTTTTAAGCCAAAAATATACGGATTAAGATGAAACACTATTTTATATATGTACTTGCGACATAAAATTTGATATATATTGTTTTATTGTTGTTGATTTTTTCCCATTAATTAATGTATTTATTTGTTTATATATTTTATTTCTAGTTTTATTAAAAAATTAACTGTAAATTACGTGTGTGAATAATAGTCGCATTTATAAAATACGCGGCAGAATCGTTAAGATTACGTACGACAAAAAGTCATTATCTCTTCACATAACTCCCACGCGTCTAGACTATCTTTGCTTTTTATCAACCCACGCAATGACTTGTACTATCATCGTAAACCCATTGTGCAAGACTTAAAGTAGCGATAGGTAGATGTAATCGAAAAACATTTTCGATAAACCAAGCCGAACCTCGCCAGTTTCATTGAATAATTTTTAACCCCTCTTGCTACTTCTATTTATTATATTGCCACGTAACATGTCCCTTACATGAAAACGAACGTTGTATAATCAACTCAGATCATACAATCGAACAATCTATGATCTATCTTTAATAGATCACGAAATTACAGAAAGGTCAATTACATTAATTATTCGATTAATGCTTTGAGAAATGGCTGTCCTCGTCTAATAGCCGACCGTATAATCTCATATCGCAATCAATATTAATAATTTTCAACTTGCATAGCGATAAGGAACAACTGCCGATGTATAACCACTACCAAATAAAAATAATGGAAGAATAAAGAACGTTACCGTGTGCGAGCTGTCGACAAGAGGGAAAATTTTGGCTTTGGTGCGGGCTTGACGCGTCGACTTGTCCAGTGGGTAGTAGACGAGCCTGAGCCCCGTGTCCTCTTGAAGGAGAAAGCGAGATAGCCAGCGTGCGACTTCCTCGCCGCAGTCGCAGGCTGGCACCGCCTGGCCCCAAACCGATGCTCGGAAGCTGCCTCGTAGACGAGCCAAGTCCACGGACACGGATATCATGCCGGGAGCCTTGAGCGTCAGCATCGATCCGCTGATGCTCGGTGAAATCTGAATTTCCAGGCGAAGGCGAGGGTAAACCAACCAGTGGTGCAGGACTTAATATGTATTCGCGTACAATTGATTACCGAGGTCACTTTATGCAGCTTCGCGCGCATTTATCTTATTGGGTAACATTGCGTAACGCCATCAACATTCGAGCATTGATTATTAAGGGCACGTCGATTGATAAGAATTGATAAGAATGTGATATTTGTAATTTTAAGATTTAGAGTGATAAACATATTTGATTAAAATATTATTATAATTGTATGCTGGCGAGCGGTATACTTGAGCAGCGTTATTATTATAACAAGCAACAAGGCTATCTGAATGTTTCGAGTCAACAGATGCTTGTTTATGCATATTTTATGGGAAAAAGAATGGCCGGATGACTTTTTATTATTATGCGCATCGATATGTACCACTGCCGCCGGATATAGGCATGGTTGGGTTAATTTGGATGGATTTTATAGTTCGTTGAATTATTCGTAGTAATTATTCTAATTGGTCAGCCAACAAAATGTATGATTTGTGTACCTACGCGTTATTTCTAAATCTTTTTCTTGGTGGATGAGCAACGGCTCTTTTACTATAATTTTACGGTTTTCCTTCGCTACACAAAGAACGCCTTATATTTTTCCGCAACCAAGCAATTGCGATAATAAAAATATTCACCGTAAATGTGAAAGTACATTTCCTATTTTCCTATTATTTTAAAAACACATTGATTTTTTATTCTGATGCAAAATTTAAATAATAATTGTACCCATTATATTATATCGTATGCGATATAATAATAATGCACGCGTAAATCGTACTATGGTAAATGGAACTTTTTATAATAACTTTTTACAGCGATTAATTGTAAATATATGACAAAAAAAATTATTGACAATTTGTTATACTTTCAGAACCACATTTATGAGCAGTTATTTTATATGTAGTGTGTCAAAGTCATTAAACCATCTCTGATTTCGCAAGCCTACAGAATAAACTTTAAGCTAATAAGCGTTTCGCTCTTGTGATAACATATGTAGCGCCTGACGTTAATGCAACGCGTTAAAACAAAAACAAAAACAAAAAACAAAAAACAAAAAACAAAAAACAAAAAACAAAAAACAATAAAGAATAGAAAAACAGTTAATTAGATCATTAAATTCACGTGCATCGTAAATTGCTTGGAATATTATGGAAAATATTACTCGGAAGTTATGGAAACGTTAGCTAGCCGTGGTCTTGAAAATCAAACTTTGCTGAGCCTGCTGTACCTGGACCATCTTAGCCATCTGTCGAGCGGTGACGAATTGCCCGTCGAGGTCGATAACCATTAATATCCTGTCTCTCAGCCAGCCGGAGCGAAGCCCCATTTGCGTGCATTCCATCGAGTTGAGACGAATAGCGCCGAGGGACTTGACCGGAAAGCATAGGAGGTCACTGAGCTCGCCGACCTTGCGCCATTTATTCGGTAGATATTGACGTTGATGTCTGGTCCATAGCCACCAGACAAAGAAAACCGCTGTACCAGCACCAACCATCGCCGCGCTCACGTACGCGAGCTTGTTTCTGTCTGGGCACCCAAACACGTGACTTTAACTTTCACGTCGTTGCTGCTAGCGACCGGTTAGTGTTACCGGTTAACAAAATCGACGCGCTTACTTTGCGTGCCTCCCTCGTACGAAATTGTAATCTTTCATTATTTCATACAAACTGCTAATTAATATTTTTACCAGTACTTTTTATAATATAATTGATATTTTTCATCACATTTTATCGATATACCATTCATAAAATAATATTTTCCCAACGAATAATGAAAATAATTATATTGGTTTTTTATAGAAATTGAGGGAAGCAATAGTTCACGACACTATGAAAAAAAAAAAATGCTAATACCTCACTGCATAAAGTCAATTACGCATAAGAACATCAGACTTTTAATTATTTTTTCCAGCGGTACAAATATATTATGTGTACACACGAGTATCACAGTATATAGCAGATTCGATAAATGAACAAACTTAATCTCAATATATATCACATACAACCATATTTATATATATCACTTTTTAAATGGTCAAATTTGTAAAAAATTATAAGAGTGATTTTCTTTAAACTGTAGATTTAACTATTTCAACTAAATTGATCATAAATTTCAATCATAAAAGTTGAGTACTGTAAGGCTTCAAAAACTCTTGTTCAAAAGCATAAAATCTAATAAATCAGAAATGAAAAGATTAATTTGATATGATAGAACGTAAATAATACATCAAGAAATTAGCGCAATATATATATATATATATATATATATATAAAGAATAAAATTCATTGATACAAATTTTTTTCATTTATTTCACTATATGTTTGTGCTTATAATCATGATTTTTTAAATAGTTTCTATTGAATAAAACATCGGAGGTTTTGAAAATTAAAAACTGATGATCCACATTAAAAATGTTATGGCTAATAAAATTAAACAAAACTTTTTAAATTAAAAATCACAAAATCTTTCCTATTTTTATACATAAATATACGTAAACTATGTGTATGTGTAACAGTAAAATGTACAACTATAATAACGATTGGCAATTTTTATTATATTACTATTTAAATTTTCTAAGCCGTTTCTTAAATGACCAATGTAAATCATATATTTTACGAGGAACATTAATTATAGGAAGGAAATTAACGGTGGTTTTATCATTCTGTAAACATAAATTTAACACTTTTAATATTTTAATATTTTTAACTATTATTGTTAATTTTAATGCGCTTACCGAGCTGCCGTTGTTTTGCTGTCATTAGAATCAACATGTTAGCTATCATATATTATTTTAAGAGAGCTTGTATTTCGTGTAAAATTATGACATTATTATTGCTTACGAGGACTGGTATACCAAATACGAACAATCTTTCAAACAAAATCCTTCTATGTTTATACATCATTTCCTATGTATAATCACATTTAAAAACCTTGAAAATTGGTCATCATTATAATAATAAAAAATTACCAAATGCAATTTATTTCCTCAATCATATTGAAATATCATGAATTTTTTATTATGAAAATTTGTATTATATATATGTTACAATAAAACTTTGATTGTAAATAAATTGTAAATATTGATACACGTTAATGCCTAAATCCTCCACATTCACATACGTGCACAAATACAACATACGCGTCTGTTTAATGTTTATTTCAATGTAGCAATAATCATGAAATCGGTTTTCATAACGGCTTATCTATCTATTCAGTGAAATGATTTTCTTGAGACAACATATACTTCATATCAGTAAATAAAATCCTATTACTTATATACGTATAGCATTATTTTATTTATAAACTCTCTTATGCAAGAATCTACATGTGTAATTGATTTTGTTTTTTATTATTAATTTTCAATAATGAAATTCCAAAGCATTGATCGAAGTTTTTATATAATTTAAAAAAAAAATCTTCTAGATTATTCAATTAATAAAGTTTCCGAACCACAACTAATAAATAGACTTAATTTATTTTAACAATTTTTTTTTTATTAAATTTTGAATATACACCTTTATTAATTGTGAAGTCTACTTTAATACTTTAAAAATTCATGATATTCGACGATTAAAAAAAAATTTAATATACTTGTAACTTATATAAAAATAATAGATAAAGTATATATAGTTATAAGCTACATTCATATTACTATGATTAATATACTATATAGATAGTTATTTAGCATCGATATCATATATAATTTATGTTTATTTTTAAATCTCCTTGTAGTAAAAGTCTAATATAACTAAATAAAAATATATATGATATCTTATCACTGATTTAAATTAATTTTATTTCTATATTAGACATGGTATTCCCATTAATATAACACATATGATTTATATAAGTAAATTTTTATTTAAAATACATGTATAATTTCATTATAATTAAATAATTCTAATTTTGAATCAATTCATATTACTTATCCGTAATATACAATTATCTAAACCAAATTAGTAAACAATGTTTTCCTAGTAGTTAATTCGTGTGAAGCTGTCCTACATTTTTATATGTTACATTTGGTATGCTAATACATTTTATGCACTCACTTCTTATATTCTTATTTCTATTAATACTTTTATGAGAATCGAATTAAAATAAAATATATTAAATATACATAATAAAGATTAGATATAAATATAGAAAAATTAACATTAAAAAAATATTTAAAAATATAATTTATAGCGAAATGAATTTTATATAGAAAATTATCTACATTAGCCTTATTAGATACTATCTTTTTATATGAAATTTTAACGCGAATAATTAGTAATACTGTTAATTACTATAATTGTGCATTATAATTAATGAAATTGGAAAATCATCTGAGAAGTTAATAATGTATATTTCCAAACATAATATTACATTAAATTATAATAGTTAAATATAGCAACAAAATATTCCGTGGAAAAATTATTCTTAAATTAATTCAACGATTAATGTATCAAATTATCAACAATTCCATCGTAAAATAGAATATTAATTAAAATGTACAAATTAAGTGAATCCAAGTAAAATATATAGGTAATAAGAGTAACTTTATTATATGGATATTATAAGTAAAAATACATAATTAATATTGTGTATTTAACAGCCATCCATAAATAATACGAGATATATTTTTCTACTTTCTTTTTTTTATTTAACAAAACAATTAATTTTACTATTAAGATGAAATTAACCTCATATATCAACTATGAGACGGGATCTAAATCTTGATTTTTCACAAATGAACTATATGTATAAAATTAAAGTTAATATTATTATAAAGATTAACGATATGATTTTACATGGATTGTGCATGAACAGAAATATAACCGATATACTACACTACTGAAAATTAAATCTTTATCGATGAAATCTATTAAGTATAATATATTTCTTCAACAGTTATTTATTACCAAAAAAAAAAAAAAAAATACATATACTACTTAGTTTTTTGCAATAACTAAGTAATATAAAGAAAATCCATAGTGTTTCTTACATTTGATGAATTTGTTATAAGATTGTAAGATATAGAATTTTATAATATAATTTACGAGAAAATCATAAAAACATAGATTATTAAATATCTTTGTAATTATTCGATTAAAAATCAAAATTGGATAAAATACATAATACAATCTTTTTAACAAGTGTTACTTCAAATTATAATCTATACAGACACATACACATGCACGCACGTTCGCACACACGCACGCCCACGCGCATATATATATATATATATATATATATATATATATATATGTATATATTAATATTACTGTAAATATCTGTAATAATTAAACTTAAATATAGATAATCTTACCCATTATTATGATGCTGTAAAACTGTTTGAGAGGTCACGATAGATATGTGTAAATAAAAATCTAATAATTATACTATGAAACTTCACAATACTAATGCCGCAAAATTTTAAATTTCCAATAGCTGATACGCAGCGTGAAAATCTACTAGATTTAAAGCCGGCTGTCGGAGCACTGATATATCCGTGATTTTAGACGAAAATGTACGGATACTTTTAATCTCAATCCCAATGCACCTCTAGCGACGTTTCTATTGTTGCGTATCTCTTAACTCTGGCGACTCATATATACTCAACATTTTCGTACGGCAACAATTCAGAACGAGTCCTGTCTACAAGGAATACCAAAGATTATGCCCGTAGTGCCGCCGCATCTCCGCACACTCATGATGCCACGCACAAATAAAAATAAAATCCTTCTTTGCCATACGTAGACTAGGGAGATGCGCATACGCGCAACAGACGTGCATGCGCAGTCGGAATCGACCAAGCGAAACCTGCATATTCTTCCAACACACTGTCCTTTTACTGTTAGTCTGCTGGAGAGAATTTTTAAAAATACTTAACTATATAATCAACTTTTGTTATCAATATATCATCGCAAATCAATAATTTCATTATTATTAACAAACACGCACAGTTCATTGTCGTTACTCTAGACATTTTGAATTTAAATTTTTTAGTAGCAGCATTTCGTTTTAAATATATTCGATTTATTAGTCAAGAATATAATTTCATAATTACATCATTCGTCGGAAATATAGTATCGGTAGAAATAACAACCAAGTTATCACATTCTTTCTAGCATCGTATTATATGTATAATATAATGCTATAATATTGTATAAATTAATTTTCAATATCAAAATCATTTACAAAAAAATTTACACGCAATAGTCATACATAAATAGGATTTTTTAAATATTTTCATCTCCTGATATAATAATGAATATCAATGCGATTAATCGATGATATATTTTCCTCGATAATGTATATTATTATCTCAATAAGGTTTATTTTAATGATCTCTATAATAATTAGAATATTAGCTTTTTTAATACATTGCATTGAACGAAATAATTATTAAATATCTTCAGTGTTAATGATGAAAAATATTGAAATTATTTTTTATCATCTTATTTAAATTAATATTAATTATATAGATATAATGGAGAAATATTACGTATTAACAAAATCTTAAATACTACAATATAAATGCTACAGCATTTTTATAATAATAAATAACTTTATTCATTAATTTCAAACTGATAAATCTTATTTTCAAGAAAGGCTGATTGCCTAGTAAATAATTGAACAGAGTATTGAAAACCCATTGCAGAAGAAGTATATTATATTGTTTAAAATTGCATAAGATAATGAAAAATAATGATAATATAAAAATTTCATTAAATCTTCATAATGCAATTATGTCACTTTTATGAAAGGCTATTTAAGAAAATATTAATTCAATTTAAATTTGTTAATAGGAACTACTTAAAATATAATATTTAGTTTTTCTTTGTAACCTAATGTAAGCTGATATACTTCAATAAAAGTGTTGGTAAATTAAGTTTTATATAGTTTTGTCACGATTAGATTAACTAATATCAACAATAATTTAACTCTAAAGTATAATTTAGAAATTAAACTTGTACACAACGAGTTTTGTAACTAATATAAAGATTTTAATTAAGGTAATACTTTAATATAAGTAAATGCTGAATAAGTTTTTAATAATAGAATACTTTAGGCTCAAACAAATTGATCAAACAAATATACTTACCGTTATTTGTGCACTTAAATGATCCGAATATTAAAAAAAAGAACAATCTGAATTATAAAAATATATGATATTACTTAATAAGTAATACATATAGTAGTTTGACTAACAAATAGTAAGTCATATTAACTTCAGACATCATATAGAAATTTATTCGTAAGTCACACCGGTAGAACTAATTAGATAATTAAATAGAACTAATAAACTGAATTTGAAGTTTATCGAGAATACATAATATTATTTATTAAATTTATTAAACGCAAGATTCGAAAACAAAAAAGATAGTTCTTTTTGATATTTTACAATTATAATTAAGGTATAAATTTAATATGTTTTATTAAAAAATTAATAAATTTCAACTTATTCGTTTATAAGTACTTGATAATGAATTTAAATATAAAATCATATTTTGATAATAAACAAATAAACATATAAAACAAATAGAAAAATAAAAGGGAAGAGTTATTGTAAAAGTTGAATTATATTATTTACAATTGCATTTTATATATGATATTAAATAACCTATAATTAAGAATTTTTAATGGTATAAATTTGACATTCTTAAAAATTATAACATTATTAGTCAAATAATATCTCAAAACCTTATAAATATCGAATGATTTTATGTCAAATCAAAATTTTACTTTAATTTAATTACCGCGCATATTTAAATTTGCGTATATTAAAAAAAATTTTTTAAACGAATATTCATGTAAATTGCTATAAATGTAAATGTTGATTTAATTAATAAGTTTTTTTTTTATTTAAATCATCAATTACAAGAGGAAATGTTCATATAAATTGTTAAATAGTAAATCATAAATGGTAAACAAACATATTAATAGTAAAAAAATAAAAATTTTAAGAATATTAATAAAAACAGTAAATGTACACTTACCAAAGTGTCAATTGAAAAAATCAGATTATAAAGTTGATATAGAAAATATATAATTATAATTTTATGAATTTATAATTGTCTTATTATTAGTAAGTGTTTATCAATAATAATTTATAAATGTAATCAATATTTACTATTAGTATTCTTAGATATTATAAATTTTACTAAATTTTTTAATTAATAATAAATTTTACAAGCAATTCTAATTGATAATATAAGTGTAATCAATCAATTTGATATAAACTATCGAAACTACATTATAACTGTATTTTACAGCATTAAATCTGTTAGAAAAACTATAAACTCGAGTTATAGTAATATCCTTAATATATTCAAAGGTCCGGTAATTTATGGTTGTAGAAGTTATTGGAAGAGTGCAGTGATAAATAACTAAATTTAAACTAAAACAAATTATACATTTAAATGGATAAAATTAATGAATATTTAAATGAATAAAATAAACAAAAAATTAAGAACAAAAACAATGGTGCTTATAAAAAACAACATAAAAATAGTTAATAAAAATATCATAATGAAAATAATAAATTATGTGTTTACGAAATAGGAAATTGAAAGATGTAGGTATCGAATTCTATAGTTTTGCAAAATCCCAGTTATGTTGCTCAATGTTAAAAAATCTTTTATTTATACTCGAATATCAATGATATTGAATTAATATTATGTCTATATAACTTATAGAACTAAATAAGTAAGTTTTATGTTATTTCTAATTTATATAAATTTATAAAACAGTATTCTAACAATTTCAAAATGTATAACATTTATAAATCATGAAAGTGTAATAAATATTGATAGTATATAACAATATAATAATACAAAAATAATTAATGTACTTTATATTGATTATTAACATTCAATAAGTTTAAAATAACTAACGTCACGGTTTTATATATTAAATTCTGTAAAAAATATATTTCGAATGATTTTTCATAAATTTATTGAACTGATTTTAATTAAGAATATATGATAAGTAACTATTCTACTTTTGTAGATTTAAGTATAATATAACTCTTTAAATGTTATTATTCGTGAATTTTTACATTAGATTTTTGTATTCTTAATTTGTACTTTGGTCTGTACAAATGAATTTCTAACATTGAGCAAAATTATAATTAATATCATAACAAATGTATTGTGACTTTATAAATATATTGAATTTTTACACTTAAATTGTTTTTCTTCATATAGAAAATATCTGTAGAATAAGAGTCTTCCCAATGAAAGTAATTTTGTTGGTAAAAACAAGATCTTAAAACATAAATTTGATATTCTACTTAGTTGGTCAGATTTCAATTGCCTTCACACTTCAAGCATGATAAATTATACGAGCAGACAAAAAGCAATTAAATATTACCCTTGTCACGATTTCAAATTACAGCGATCTTCAAAACCCATGACTAAGTACATTTTTATTCAAAAAGTTATTCTTTTGGTGATATATTAAATTCCTTTCAATTCAAACGTCTCTTATCTAGTATAAAAGTATTGTAAACTACAGATTGATTATAACTAAATAGTAAACTCTAATGTAACAATTTCTATTCAATCATTGTTGATATTATAGTAATGTGTTTATTATTTATTTATCAGCCAGTCTTATATCAACTCATAAAAAATGAATAAATATCGATATTATATTTCAATTTGTATGTTACTATGTTTGTATGCTCATTTTATATGAACTTTTGTAATCTTACAAGAAAATCTATTTGCTAAAATCCTTCGTATTACTAATTGATAAATTGGCATGAAAATTAAAATGATTTATATAAAAATTATTCTTCCTTATAAAATCGTTCGTTTTTATTCAACCAGTACTTTCATTATTAATGCCCACATTTATCTATAAAACGAATACATTTTTCCCATAAGTGTTGAAATTTCAGCATTTAATATTAAACAAATGTGCATCTTTTATTTTTTATTTTTTTCAACTCAAATTTCTTATTATTTGGTCCATTTATATACAAGCTATTAGTATTTTGAATTTTGAAGACTTTTGAGATTTCTATGGAAATAAATCTTACAATAATTATTTATAGAAATATTGTTTTGTTACTCCAGACTCTCTTATTTAAGCGCGTTTTCAGTGTATTCGATATCTGCCAAATATAAATCATGCGAACAGTGATTGGTTAAACATGCCAATCAAATATACGTAAATAATAAAAGCCATCTATTACGTGGCTGCACAAAGCAAATAGTTCATTACCACATCATGTAGATAAATATTATTACGGATGGTTACGAGCAACCCTCTCGTGCGCTCTATCTGCCCTCTACAGGAATTACTTAAAACAAGTAAAATACATGTACGTACGAATTGACGCTATAATACGTATAATACGGAAACGCATTGCCATCCAAATTTCATTAATGATTGTTTATTAATTTGCTAATAAACTAACATTACGCGGATGTAGTATCTGCGATAATATTTCGTATAAAAATTAATCTCACGTAACGTTAAATATCAAAATATGAAAATTCTGCCCGCAGATGATTGTAAACAACTTGTAAAAATCAAATCAAATAACAAAGTAAAGCATTAGTCCCGTCTACTATATATATATATATATATTTTTTTAATATATGAAACTTACAAGCTATTGTCCACTGACACTGTTTAATTTCGCTAGGATACTATAATTTTTCATTGTCTGTCTTATAAAGTACTTATAAAGCAATGAATTATGTCAAATCTAATATTTAAATTTATTTCAAAATTAAAAAATACGAAATTATTAGTTACCAAACTTATTTAAAAACATAAAGTAACTTAGAACGTTTACGACAGCGCCAACCTTTTTCATGCAGTTTCTATGACAAATCGAAATTCCCTGTCATTTACTTTTAACACCAAATATGATGTATATTTATATAAATTATAGGAATGCAGTTCCGTAGCAAAGATAAGGATATCGTCGTTCATTTTCGGTAATTAAAAAGTCGACACATATTGACACGAAGGTTTTAAAAAATTCTCGGTGTCTCTAACTTTTTATCGAGCATTCGCAAAATATATTATGATTCCGTGAAACTAATTTAGTACGACTTCGCCGTTTCTAAGGCGTAGTTTAACATTTATATATTCCCTTAGTTATTGTCTGGCTATTTATTATTAAATTCAAGGTGAGTCATTTATGCTATTATATTCTATATATAGTTATTTCTGTAAAATATATTAAATATGCTAAATTATATTAATAGCAAAATATAATTGCTTTATAAGTTCATCGAATACAACGAAAGAAGAAAATATCGAGGTTAGAAAATTAATGACGTTTTTCATCGATTGAATGACATCATATTTGAACCATTATCTTTTGTTAAAATTTAATCGTTGAATCTTATTCAGATTAATTAATTATAAAAAATATTGTAGTTTTTTAATTGAATTACATAGTTCATTTGCCTCGTTAATCTTTATAAATTAGAATGTTAATGCCAACATAAACTTGAGTTTTATACCCATGTATATGAAAATAATTATTAGGAATATAATAACCTTCGTTGATAAATTAAAAACAATTTTATTTTATTTTATTAAATTAAATATACAGGAAAAGGTGTTTATTAGAAGACAAACATGCCAGTTCTTTATAGCGTTGTTGCAAGAGGACAATCGGTGCTTGCGAAACATGCTGCATGTACTGGAAATTTTGAAGAAGTCACAGATCAGATTCTATCAAAAATACCACCTCATAATGATAAAATGACATATTCCCAAGGACCTTACTTATTTCACTATATTTGTGAAGATCGAATTGTTTATATGTGCATCACCGATGACGTAAGCATATATTACTTAATTACATAAGTAATTGAATTGAATATTAAATCATTAATTTGTTTAAAAAATTCTAATATTAAAGTAAATTAATATAATTGAGAAATGCAATTTCATTTATTATCTTTATTTAGTAATTCTTGGATGTATATTCAGTAAAGTCTATTGAAATTTTATTATTTATTATTTAATCTTTTTTGAAAACTTATTTGTATACATTTTATTAATATACATAATGTACTTGATTTATGATATTTTAAATTATTCGATATATTATATTAACCTTAATAATAGTCATTATTTTATTTCAATTACAACAATATATTTTCAAATAGGATTTTCAAAGATCGAGAGCATTTATGTTCCTGAACGAAGCTAAAAAGAGATTCAGAACTATGTACAGTGATGGTGCACTAACTGCTTTACCATATGCTATGAATACTGAATTTGGACGAATTCTAGCAAATGAGATGGTAAATGTCAATAATTACGATATATTTTTATCCCTGAATATTAAATATGTATTTCTTATCTGCAGAAACATTACAGTGAATCTAAAGATCTAGATACAATATCGAAAGTTCATGGTGAGTTGGATGAACTTAAAGATATAATGGTAAAGAATATTGACAATTTGGCAATGAGAGGAGAACGCTTGGAGTTACTTGTAAATAAAACTGAAAATCTTACTAACAATGTAAGTGACATTGAGTAAAATATTTAATAAAATCTTATTGATTATAAATATATTATAAATATAAGTTTAAATAATGTACTGAAAACTTAACAACACGTTTCTTTAATATTAAACTCTTTACTGTAATATCTGAATCGTTAAATTAAAGAATTTTGTTCTTTTGTGTCATTGTAGAATATTTTATGCGCGTTTTTAAAAGAAAATTGAGAACATTATAATATAGTAATCTATAAATAAATTGTATATTGATTTAATTCATTTATCACTATCTAAAATAGTGTATAACAATATTGTACCAAATATTGCGCCATTATAAAGTTGTTTTATATTTTATTTGTAGTCAGTTACCTTCAGAAAATCCAGTCGTAATCTGGCACGCTCCTTATTTTGGAAAAATGTTAAAATGTATGTTATTCTTGGATCTGTTTTAATTGTAAGTACCTAGAATTGTCTGTAAATATTAATTATCATCCTTACTTTATTAAATACTAATTGTAAATATAGTAATTTATTATCTCAGTAATTTGATTTAGATCATAAATACTACTTCAACTTTTTCAGCTTACAATTTACGTTATACTTGCATTGTCTTGCGGTGGATTAGGATTACCAAAATGTGTTGCGAGTAACTAATCAAGACGATACTGCGCTTTTATAATTAATATAGATCAATTCTCATATATGCTGCAGAGAATTATGTTCAAGAATGTATTTATGTATATATGTATGTATATATGTATGTATATATGTATGCATATATATATAAATATATGTACACATACCTCATTGATTATCATTTGCAGTATATAGGTGACAGTAAGCAAGTACACTATTTGTAAAACAATGCATCTGTAAAATTATTTCAAATACGATAAAAGGAATTTGTAAATACATTGTTTTATTCATAGCGGTAATGAAAATGTATAAAGCATGAGAAATATCCATGTTACAAAGGAAATTATGTTTGCATTTGTAAATATAACAAATGTTATTAATCATAACTTAAACAAAATAATAATTGTTATATTAATTTCTATTTGTACAAACTTTTGATTCAAAAGATATAATTTCTTATTATTTTTAAACTTATCGGTAAGATTTCATTCTCCTTATGAAATGATAATTTATGTATTCATATTTATTACGTTTATTGTGCTCTTGTCAGAAAAATTGTACTATATAGGATATATTTTTATTACTTTTTTGTAATATGATTTATAAATATATTTACATTTTTAATACGTTAAATTCTTATATATAAAAATATTTTCACTAAATATTATAATGCTATAATATACTATTATTTAGTTTTAAAACCTATTTTTTATATGTTTAAAACTATAATATTTAAAATTATTTTGTTAAATTAGTTTCTAATATTCTTGTTTAAAATTTTAAAAAAATTAACTTTTATAAATATACTATATATATAAATATATATTATAGTGAGAAAGTAAAATAAAATATATTCTGAACTTACATATAACTTAATTTTTTACTATGAAACTCGATATAATTTAAATAAAAAAAAAAAAAAAAAACCACTTTTATATGGATAAAATAAAGGATAAAATTGAATCGAATTTATGGATTTTTAGCTAATTATACATATTGCGTCAAATTTCTGAGGTCTGTAAATTTGTAATATAATTTGAAAATTATTTGTTATTGCTAAAGAATAAAATACAATTTATATTCGTAAATTAAATTAATACGAGATTAAAAGTAAAGATTTTGGCATTTTATGTCAATAAATAACTTCCAGCTTTTGTCCATATTTTATTTGCATTTCAATACAACTAATATATTTTATAAATATGAAAATCTTACAACTTTTAAAATTTGTTCTACTTCTACATTACGTTTATTGTAATAATATGGAAATGAATAATAAACGAATTAAATTAAACTATTAATATATAAAATATGATATATCGTTTTTATCCTCAAAAAACATCCAATTCATATATATATATATATATATATATATATTAACAAAATCCCCAGTTCGAAGTAAATGATGTTTAAATAGGAATTTGTTATTCCGAATTAGTAAAATAATCATATATAAATATTATTTAAAAAGACTGATAAACAGCGAGAAGCAGCAATTCTCAAAATTCATACGTGCTTAAAATGTAAAAAATAATAAACAATTAAAATTGATGAGGTCGAGCTCATTTCTCCATAGTTGTTTCATAATAACGAGTTTTTATGGAATCCAACTCGAGAGACAATGCAAAGACTGCACTTTGACACACTAAGATAAGAATAATCTAGTTGCTTAGAACGCTGAATCATTATAATTCATTATACAATTTGAACAAAAATTAAATCCCTAACACACGAATAGTTTATTCGAGTACTAAACTGAAATACGCCAGAACCATCGCTGTTTTGAGCGAACAAACTAGACTCATTAGATTTCCTCCAATCGCAGTTGCTATCTTGATTTTAGAGATTTTCATAATGAATATTAATTTTCTGTACAACAAAATAACCGATTTTTTTGTTTTTGTTTTTTGTTTTTGTTTTGTAATGATACTGTAGATAATCGTGCTGCACTATATTTTCTAAAAAATTTATATCTATAAATATACTACTGCTTAACCGTAGTCGATTGATAGGCTTAAAATTAATAATATGACTATTCAGTATTTATAATTAAAATCCAGTATCAAATGAAAATCAGTCAGTAATTATAAATATTAAAATTCTTGAAAAAAGCGAAGAAGAATTACAAAAGAAAATTGAAAAATTTATTTATTCCTTAAGAGAGTGAAAATTTAATTTGACAACAATTGACGCTTTCAATGTATATATTTAAGAATGCGATTATTAAATGATCAATGGTAAATGGAAATATCATTTTGACATTTTATCTGAACTCTGGAAAAGAGCAAATGTTAGTTTCCAAAAGAATATCGATGGAGAAAAACACGATGAAATAGGAAGGAAATAGTTGATTGGTAATTTATTAGCCTCGGTGGTTGACTTTCCATACCATTAGTCGCAAAGAACGTCTGATCTCCAACCAAAGCTCGAGTCAATGTGTGTACCGTTACCGCCACGAGCGAGAGAGAGCGAGAGAGAGCGAGAGAGAGAGAGAGAGAGAGAGAGAGAGAGAGAAAGATCGTGAACGAGAGTGGTGGGGATAATACTTATCAGGGACGTGCGTTGCACGCGTCGTAGCCCCGGACGCGGCGTTTTGGTACTTCGCAGCATGGCTAGGCACCTTTTGTCTCAAGTATGCGTCTATTGATTCCGAGGCTCTGCCTCTAGTTTTCCCACTCACATTTGCCTATATTTCTCAGCAATTCAAGATTTTTCTCACCTTTATCGCTTGCCTTGCCTCTCGGTAACTAATCTTTTCACATTTACTAATTCATGATTGCACCAGTATCGATGATTTAACCGGATAAATTAAACGAATGAAAAATCCAATCGTAATCAATTTTATGAAGGTACTGGAATTTTAGATGACCGCCTATCATTAATGAATTTTTTTAATGTCACATGTCATAATAAGTTCAACGTCATAATAAACACGGTATTGGATATCACATTGGTATCGAGCAGCTGAACATTTGAATTTGAATAATTATTCAAAAGACTGAGTCAACCAATAAGGACCAATGAGTATATACTTTGGTTATTGTTTATTTCAAATTATTAGTTTGAAAATTAAAATTATTTGAAAACTTAGATAAAAAATGGTTAAAATAATTATTTTTATTCTACCGCATTTAGGAATTATGCAATGTTCAATATTATACATTGAATACTTTTAATATTATAAATTTTCACTGAGCTGTATAAATTGTTAGTTAATAATAATACAGTATAATTAATTTGATTTAAATGTGAAAATAATATTTAATACTGTTGATTAAAGCATACTTAAGTGAAAATGTAAATATTACATCCTAATAAATATTCAAATTTTTAATTATTTAATTGTTTAATGATTAATAGAGAATAATTATAATCTGCATATTAACTGGACAGTCAAAGACACGTGAAAAATAGCTTAAAGTGCATAAAGTTTTAAATTTTTCATTTAAAATTTTAATCAATAAAGGAAAATCTTCGATTCCCTTGATGATTTTCCGATTCGTAATATAGTAGGGTACTATTATCAGTGTATACGGGTGCTCACACAGAAAAGACACAAACCCGAAAACATCGCCTCACAATTTCCCAATTTCCTCCTCGTTATTATTTATGCGAAGCTGACAATGCCTCTTGCTACAAGCTTGAATTGCAAATCTTGCTCTTCTAAATTTTTTTCACCTATTTTTTCCTTTCATCGTGCATATATAGTTTTTCAATTTTTTCCATAGATAAATCATAAAATCATATTTTTATAGAATTTAAATGAAATATTATAAATTGATACGATTATAATTTCTTTATTCGCAGAAATTTCTATAAATGTCATTACGAAGATATTTTATTATTTATTTTATTATTTCAATTTATATGTATATTTAATAATTTTTTTACTTCGTTATTTTCTCGATATATTTTTTGAATCTTTATTTTCTGCTTCGCAAGTATAAAATAACTACTACTATTATAATAATTATAATAATTTTAATGATAATAATATTTTTTTATATATTTTTTTTTATTTAATTCTGATAAATATGTATAAAATAAAATAGAATATAAATTTCACGTAATTATATTTTATATTAAAAACATCATAATGCTTATATATTGGAGTGATAATATATTTTCAAATATTTCAGATTTAATATATATATATATATATATATATATATATATATCTTTTTAAATATCTCCATTTTCATAAAATATTTATTAAAAATTAACAAAGTAAAATTTTTCATTCTAAATATAGAAAATAAAATTATATTATTATATTATATTAATTTTATTTTCTAAAATGTGTAATTAGCATACTATATATATGACTATATTGATAATTAACAATATTAATAGCTCAATAAAAATTGTGTTTGCAAAAAAAAAATATTTTAAATAATGACATAAATATACATATTTCAATTCAAATATTTCAATAATAATCATTACATTTTTTTTTATTCATATTTCAAATATGTATCTTCAATGAGCTTAGAGAGAAATCAATAAACTATAATCAGAATATTTACGTATTACAATATTTACGTAAATCTGATGGATTCTAAAACAATACAATTTTTTTTTATTTCAAAGTTTTTTCAAATTAATCTTAGTTTTATTGAATACACGCATATTACTATCAAATTTTTCTGAAAAGAATTTATAGATAGACATTAAAATTATTTTAAAATAAACAATATTAAAATGTACTAAACCCATTAAAACAATACCGTTCGTATACGTAATATAACTTTGTCTTTTCTATTTTCAATTATATACTTTCATTCTATCCATGTCACAAACTTTATAATTAATAATTCATGCTAGTTGCGGCATAAAAAGTTTTAAAAAAAAGTCATTAAGTTTAGAAATTGTATGTCAAAAATGTAAATTTGTGTGAGTCCATGAAAATCATTATCACAATTTTTAAATAAATTTTATAATATTATATTCCAGAATTTGATTTAAAAAATAATACTTTTTATTTAAAAGACTTCACTTATTATAAAAATTTATATCTAGAGATTAAATTGTGATTTTAAATATTTATCAAGAAAATAGAATAGTATTCGATATAAAAAATTTTAAATCACA